ATCATAAGCTTAACCTTCTTTGATGGGATCTGTTGTTTCTTGTGTCAATAAGGTTTGTGAATCGCTGTAATCAAATTAGCTGATTTTGTTTCAACTTCAACAGATTCAAACAAACACATCTGCCTCACATTTATTTTCTCAGTTTGTATAAAAGCACAACATAAAGATTATTTCASAATAAAACATATGTTTACTTGTGCCTTAGCAGCTACTGCCCTCTGTTGGTAAAATAAAAAATAAAATAAAAAAACACATCCAAACTTCTCAACACTTTATCAGAAGCAATCTGCTGCAGCAGCTACAAGTTTAGAAAAAGACAATTTGATGCTTTGTTTRTGTTTGATTAGTCTGTTAAATTAAGTCCAGTTAATTACCATACCCCATCACTTAAATCTGAAAGTGATTCTGAAATGTTATTCTTTTCATTAGGATGTACAAATGTTTTAAAAGAATGAAAAATGGCTGCGTCATGGTTTTTAATGAGCTACTTCAAGCACAGAAATAAATGAGACATTATTTTCTTTTTCAATGCTGACATGACATGACTTCCTGCTCTTAATGAAATTTGTTGGGATGCTGCAAACAAAATATATAAATTTAGCGCCGCAATGCTTTTCTCTGCTTGTTTCGATCGATGTGTCTGGAGGGTGTTTTTGCTAAATGAAGGTGGGTGTAGCCCATGCAGCTCAGACTAACATTTAACAATCTGAAAGAAAAATATAGGCATGGTGGGATCATTCTGAAATATTACTCTCATCTGCAGTTTGGCAAAGAATAGTTGGCAAAAATCTGCAGATCAGGCTGAATGGTTGGTTAATACACTGTCATCAGAATGTTTCGGTCACCTATCAGCTTTCTCTCTTTTTTTAAAGTTTCTAGAGGCTGACATTAAAAATGATTACTTGCACTGCATAAAAAAATCTTTGCCATTGTTATTTTGTCTAATGAAGCTAAATAAAATAAAACTTTGGAGGGCTAACTGGGTAATCAATGGCAAATGTTAAATCAGAATGTCCAAATTTCACCCAAGAAATTAAAAGAATGTCACAAACGAAGTTGGACATCTGAGTACAGAAACACTGGACAAAATACACTGTTCTGTCATTTCTTGTTCAAAATCAGTTATCTAAGGCAGGGGTTCCCAAACTTTTTGTCTTCTGACCCACAAAATATTCATGGCAAAAACTTGTGACCCCAAATATTACTGGTCTGAGTACATGAACTTTGTTAATAACCCTAAAAACACAGGCTTTTTGACAATCTAAACAGCNCTTTTTCCCTGTGCCATTCCACATTATTACAAATAACTTTATTTCTGGACATTTATGGTTTGATTTCTTTGTATGTATGGATCACTTGGGTTGTTACCGACATCTGGTGAAAATTTCATGTCATTAGCACCTCTAGTAATATATTTACTGAGAAAAATGGTGACGTGTTCAATACTTATTTTACACACTGTAAGGACCAGAACCTTAGAAGAACTTCATTAAACACTAACACAGAATTCATATCTGTAATTCTGTTTAAATGTTGTTGTATTTTGCATGTCTGCATATCCTTTGTTAGTTTGTTTTCATGTTTATGACAATGTTTAACCCATTCTGCACAAAGTCACCAAGACAAAATCATTTCCACATGGTGAAACCTGTCTGGCCCATTTCTGGCMCACACAAGCAACTAACACTCGGTCCAGATGCCRCAAAGAATAACGGCCCTTTGTTGGGCCAGAGGTGGTCCATGCGTGGGCCAGCATCACATAAACCAAAGTGCCAGACCTGGCCCGCATTTAGTTGTCAAACCACTTCCCATGAAGTCAGCGAGCACTGGCAGCTTGACACCAGTTCTGGCCCACACCTGTCTGCTCTGTGGGATGCTTGTACAAACTTGGCACCAAACCTGATTCTGCACAAATAGAAGCAACATCAAAGGAATGCATATGACCCGCCGCCAATCATGCTGGAGTTTTATCACCTTGTGATGAGTATAGGAATGGAGGTTAAAACCCTTCTGGACAAACCTTGTTAATAATAACTTAGTCCATGAGCTGTGGGATATCTTGAACTGGTTTGAATCCAAATGCTATGAGTTTTCAATGGGCAGCCAAAACCTGTTCAGTGGTTCATGAGATATTTTGCTAACAGACTGTGTGGTGTGTGGCAGAATCACCCCGGGCGCAGGCAAAATCCAAAATGAAAAAAAGGTTTATTAACTAAGGAGGGCTGTCGAGGCAGCAAAAAACTCACAAGAACTCTTTTCAGGAAAAAGGCATGAGGAACATGGAAGACACCACAATGACTGAAGACAGCACAATGATCCGACAAACTGAGGACAAGACACCAAATATAAAGGCAAACTAATGAGGACAAATGAGAAACACCTGGAGGAGACACATGAGGAAACAGGTGAACGTGTACGGGGCTGCAGGGCAGAGAAACACAAGAAAAACTAAAGCAGAAAAACACAGATTGATTACGACACAGACAATGTCAACTTTAACTGCTAACGTGTGCCTCTCAGCTATAACCAGCACATATTTTAACATAATATTTGTACAATAGACTAACTTGTAGCCACTTTACTGTTTTCTTAGATCATTTTTCTTAGGAGGTTATTTTTTAATTCATAAGAATTTTATTGAAACCTTTTCTGAAGTTTATGAGATATTTTTCTAACAGACAAAAGCTGAATTCAAATATCTTATGATAAAACTTTAAATAAAGATCTGCGAGCACTCTGAATAGATGTTAGGGATCAGTCTTAGTTACTACACCAAAGTTAAACTAAATATCCGTAAATCTGACTGAGTTGTAGTTTCACAGAAGTTCAGTTGTGGCAGCCTCCTTGAATCAGGTTGACTCCAAAGGTTAATCAGCTGCAGGTGCACATACACTCATCACTTCCTGAATGTTTCAATAAAATCTGTCCTGTGGTTCGTGAAATATTTTGCTAACAGACACAAGGTTTGGTCAAAAGGCGGCAAACCTATATCTGAAGCAGCTGCAATTATTTAAAAAAAAAGAATTGCAATGCATTTACTAACCTGCTACTATTTAGTTTGAACACAAAAAGAATGACGTCACAGTTTTATGATAATAATTACACAGGTAGGCAGCAGGAGCGACCTGATAATCTGGTAACCACAGAGGGGTCCGGTCCAGTTGGAGGACGACCCTCTGCGGTGAGTGGTCTTCAGGCTGGTAACTGGCCACGCACCATACCACGCGCACTTTAATAAAACTACAAAAACCACAAAGAGCCGACGCGCAGGCGCCACGCAGCAAACAAAAGGCGTGTTTTTGCTTCACGTTTCAGAGCAGCATCAGTAAAACAACCCCTCATCTCTCCCTCTTTCCCTTCAGTCACGCGCATAATTCATTCACCTCGTGCAGCTCCATTTATCCCTCACCCCTTCATCCAAAATTTACCTCCTCCTTCCCTTTCTTTTTGCACTTGTGCCTCTCTCACTCTCTCTCACACACTCATCCTTTCACCCACCGCCTCCCTCTTCAGCTCACATAAAACACTCACCCATTCACCGCCCCCCTCCCTCCTCCTCCCCTCCTCCTCACTCCATCATCGCTTTCACCCATCCACTCCCTCTGCGCCCACCTTTCATGTAAACAAACAAAAGCGTGCCCACTTGAACACTTCACAGTGGGAATGTTACTCCTCCCTTCCACGATCGGACACTTTATTAATATGTAGTAAACAAAACAAAAACATGTGATAATATCAATCTGTTTAATTAATTCTAATTAGCTGCAAATGATTTAAAGTAAGATAGTCATTCCTAAAAGTCACCTGGTTTCCTTGAAAGTGGTGCTCGTCACTCATTTTATAATAAGATTGGGTAAATTAAAAAATAGTGTCAAATAACTTAAAAAAATAGCTTAAAAACTCCTGGGAAAAGCTCTACTTCAGAGGCTGTTTCATAGGAATCAAAATGGCGTTACAGGGAGGGACATCAGCGCTTTGACTGAATTAAGGAGCTAAAAGAGCAGAAATGTGATAAAGTTTGTTATTGGAGGGATTTATTTATTGCTTTTGTGATTGCTGCATTCAGAGTGATAATAAGACAGCCCAAATGTTCTGATGGATTTGCGCTCTGATGCGCCAGTCTCCAAACAAAAGACAGCCATCTCTGCGCCCTGTGGCACTGAAGGACTCTGGGTCCGGACGCATCCCCCCCTCCCTCCATCCACCCCCTGCAGCTGGACCCACACCTGGGCCCAGCTTTGGGCTTCGGACCCGGTCCGAAATACTGTGTGATCGGCTCAATAAACGGATCAATTCAGGCTGTGATCTTTTGGAGGTGCTGGCAACTTTCCTGACAATGGAGCTCTAGAGGCGAGCGCTATACTGATGGTTATAAGCAATTCTGGTTGAAAATCATCAAATAAAGCAACCCCACCTGACGAATCTCAGCCCGAATAAAGCCCTGCTGAAGTCCCACCTGTCACCTGTCCCTCGGGCGGTGTGACATTTAATTTATAGGCGGTTTAACAGTAAATAATCTCGAACACGTCATTCAAAGTCAATGGCCGGACTGTGTTAGTTGGGAAAATATATGGGGGTATTAAAAGGATGAACGGAACCCTGGGCCGTCGGAACCGCGCGCGTCACCTCGTGCGAAGATTCAATTTTCATACGAGCCGCGTGGTTCCGGCCCAGGTTCCGTCCGTTTGGGTCAATTTAACGCGAATTGGGCAAAATCGTCAGCGGCGCGCACTACTTCCAGCCGGTTTTCCCGGAATAAAAGTTGCTCGCCGGCGCGGGCGGACGGAGACAAGCGGGTGGGTGTGAAGCCAAATGTCCCCGCTACCGGCCCGTACGGTCCAGCGGTTCGGAACTCCTCCGCGGGCTTCGCATTTGACGCGAGTTGGAGGACGAAGAAACACAAACGGGACGGCGCCAGTTCCATGGAGTCCGCTAGATCAGCTGCTGGCAGTTGGTGTTCTCAATCACGTCCGCAGAGAGGCTTCATAGGCTCACCGGAGCGCCTGTGGAGTAATACACTTTACTCGACCCGCACACTGACGCCGCAATTTGTTTTGGACGCGCGGAATATTACTTTTTAATCCTCCTGCAACGAAAAAGCGACGTTTTTACACATTTTGGACTTTCGAGAGAGCAATTTTTTTGACAACGCATCCAGCTTTTGGCTCTCTCCCACTGACATTTCCAGGAGTTTTCCCTGTATTTCATTAACTTTCTCAGAGGAAAAAGCCACCATGGCAGAGACGTCGTCCGCTCCATCCAAAGCCAAGCGGGCAGCCAAACCCAAAAAGCCCGCTTCTCATCCCAAGTACTCGGACATGATTAAAGCGGCTATTGTGCACGACGCCAGCCGGAGCGGAGCGTCCCGTCAGTCCATCCAGAAGTACGTGAGGAAGAACTACAAAGTGGGCGACAACGCCGACGTGCAGATCAAAATGGCCCTGAAGAGGCTGGTGGCGTCCGGGATGCTGCGCCACACCAAAGGCATCGGCGCGTCCGGCTCCTTCAGGCTCACCAAGCCGGAGGACTCCTCCAAGAAGCCGGCCAAGGCGGCCGCGGCGGTGGCCGCCAAGCCCAAGAAAGTGGCCAAAGCCAAACCCAAGAAGGCGGCCAAGCCCAAGAAGGTCACCAAGACGCCGGAGAAGCCCAAGAAGGCGGCGGCGAAGAAAGTGAAAAAGGTCGCGAAGAAGGCGACCCCGGCGAAAGCCAAGAAGGCTCCGGCCAAGAAGCCCAAGGCGGCCAAGCCCAAGGCGAAACCCGTGAAGAAAGCTGCCAAACCCAAGGCAAAGACACCGAAGAAGGCAGCCAAGTCATCAAAGAAGAAGTGAAAGGACATTAAGAAACTAAACTGACTGTAAATACTTGAGGAAAAATGTTTTCGTATATGTATTATTTTTGTAAGGTCTCATGAAAATGTCAGCTGTTTGTACCTGTAGTTTTCTCTCCATTGAAATACAACATTAATAAGCTGTAGAAACAATTGTGAACATTTTTTTAAACTCCCTTAATGAAACTGTTATTACCTGTCTGATGTTTGAACCCATAGGAACAGGAAACGTGTATATAAACAAACTAATAGTCATTGTTAGTGCACGTGTTTATATTAAAAACAAATACTTTGAGCATTGTGGAGCCTTTACACCATCTACATTTATTTCTCTAAAGGCTCCAAAGTCCTCATTTTAACTGCATTCTGCCTTTATATATACAGTATATATACTTTTATTTTCATACAACTCATCCTGATGTGTTCAGACACTTGTTATTCAATAAAACTTTGCCATCTTAAAACTGCCAGGTTCGTGTGTTTATTGTTAGCAGAGTGAATATGAAACAAATTTAAACAAAAGCTACTACATTATAATGCCATTTATTTGCCAATCTACCTTAGATGAATGTGACACTTTCAAGTTGTGATGCAGGTTAAACAAGTAAAGCAAAAAACTCAAACTCCACAAAAGATCACCATCATGCACTTCATTTTATATTCAAATTAAAACTGTGTGAAAAAAATGTTATTTAGTGATATTAGATCACGCCTAATACTTAAGTAGGTAAAATGTATCAAAAGACACACAATTTTTTTTACTTTAAGAGAAACTATTTTGGTTTTTCTTCCGATTTTAAAGCTACACAAGTTTAAATATTAAGCTGCTGCCGAGATTTTCTGTCTCTGACTCCAACACTCCAGCACCACCTACACTGACAGCAGATAACTGAAGGGATGTGTTGTGGACACACCCTTGCTCTCCCTGCTCCTCACCTGAATACAACACTGCCATCTTGTGGTGGTTTGCAGGAACAATCAGCTTCTCTTCGCGGTGAGGCAGCAGCAGCATGGAGTCAAACTAAAGGCAGAATTTAAAGCAAGTTACTTTCTTTGCAGAGTTATTCATCACACAGATGAAGGATGATCTAAGTAACCTTGCTCCTACCTGAATTCTCAAAAAGGTGCACTCAGATGTCTTGTTTTTGCGTTTCCAGCTGATTTGCAGCTCAAGCAATCTAATCTTTATCAGCAGCAAAACACCAAATGTCCCAAATTCACAGTATTATTAACACTAAATCTTTAAATCTGTTGAAAAATATGGCCGCTGAAAATCAAACAAAATTTAGTCAAAATTTAATGCAAAAAGTGCATAAAGACACTATTCACAGCATCAGTGTCTTTTTAACTGAAATCTTCATCCAGTCCTGTCTGATCTTTATTAAGCATTAAAATAATCTTTTTCTTAAAAAAAAAAGTCAAAAGTCAAACAAGTTTGAGACAACAGGTTCTTAGAATAATTAAGCTATGCAACCCACTGATGTTGGTTTGCAGAAACAATACAACTGTAGACTGTAACACAGTCAGTCAGTCAGGCGCCTGAGAACAGCCAAGTATAAATTATCAGTCTAATTCAGTCTCAWTAAAATCAGCTTAAATGTGAACAGAACAGGGAATAAAAACTGAAGGCAGAAATGAATTGGACAATTTCCTCAACATTATCATTTCAGGTTCCATAAACCTTATTACAAACCACCGTCTTACTTTAAAAAAACTATATTCTGTCTTGCAAAAAGAGCACTCTTTTTCTGATTTTTTTTTACAGAACTCACTGATAAAAACAGTTTAACAGTAAGAGTCGAGATAAATACAATGATTTTCACCCATAAAGGTTGCCTAACGGACAATAACATGCTAAAACTAAGGTTTTTGGCAATCGCACTATTACCTACTAGCCGGGTTAGAAAAAACACTGTTCATGTAAAGGTTGATTGGGATKTTTTCTTCTGATGCTCCCATTTAAAGTCAAGTCATTTAGGCTTTGTTACTTAAATTGTGTGTAACGCATATAACAGTCAGATATTGTAGAATTCACAGTTCCCATCACAGATAAAGCACTGTGTAGGTTTTTGCGCACTTAAAGCGTAGACAGGGCTATCCTCAACTTGGTCTGGTTTAACAGTGTTAAGGCAAATAAAATAAAATAAAATAAAAATAACAATTTGGGCACAGCAGCCTGAGGAACCACACCAGCATCCAGTTGCTTCTGATCTCAAACGTCCGAATGAAGAGGCCGAAGAATGAATAGAGAAACTGGGTGCCTTTAAAGAAGTAATAATAATGCAGGGGGGTAAGGTCTCGAGGTTTGGTCATGATGATTGGAGTGTCTGTGTGGTAGATGGTCATTTGAGTCTGACGGCAGCCCTGTAGACGGCAAAGCCCAGAACCGCCACCACCGCCGAACCCAGAGCCACTCTGAGCCAGAAGGACGAGCTGCTCATGTCTGAACCATTCAGGTGTCTGCAGATTAAAGGGATGACAAGAAAAGTAATCGTCATACTGAATCCCCATTTACAACTAAATCAGTGTAAAACTTCCATCCTGTAACAAAGGAGGAATAAAAAGACTTTTAAGTGTCTTTAAAACCAGGGGTGGGGAACATTTTTTTTCTAGACATTTATTGACAAACTGCTGAACGTACGGGTACATCGCTGCCGAGGTGAGTTTGGTGTAGATGTTGTTGCTGGTCGAGTCCGGTAACAGGCTGGAGAAAGGCAGCGGTGGAGGCAGTCGGTGTTTATAGCAGAACTCTGCAGGAGTCATCCCGTGGAACTGCTTGGCTTCAGGAAGGTCCACTTTAGAGGCAACGAGCACACAAGGGATGTTGCCGTCCATGTAATGTTGCTGAAAAATAAATTGGAACTATCAAGTTTTGGCTGAGCAAAACGTGAAACAGTCCATTTGAAATGTTATTGTGTGAATGTTTATAATTAGATATACTTAGCTTAGACATTAGAAATACTAAATAATAAAAACTTTTTCCACCATGTTGTTCTCACTGAAAATGAATGGAGCTTTTTTCAACATCCTTAAAACCCTTTAAAATGTTTCTAAATCTTTACTTTTTACCTTTTGTTCCAGTCCAGCTTTTTTAAAGTCTTGCGTACAAATTCCAGTTTCCTTCGGCTTCTATTTTGCAGATTTTATTATTTTTTCTGCCTTTTTAGCTATCATTCTGACCTTTTCTGCAATTCTTCTGCTAATTTAGTCTTTTGTGCTTTCAGCTTCTTTCTGCTAATTTCAGCTGTTGTGTCTTTAGCAACTTTTTAACTAATTAGAGATATTTTTTCAGTTAAATTCACCGTTTCATAATTTCAGCTTCTTACAGCTTAAATCAACAAACATGGTCTCTGTTTCTTTGTGCTGATTTTGTTTGAGCTATATTTATTGCTAGTTTGAGATTTTTTTAGCTATTCAGCAAAAATCTTTCAGCATTTACACTGTATTTTTAATACAGTGAATGCAAATTATCTAGTTTATTATGATTTTATTTTTGTTTTACATTTCTCTAATTGTGGTTTATTTATATGCTTCTACATTGACCAGTATGGAAAGCTCTTATAATATTTAATTAAGCCACAATAAATGTATTCACCTGTCCTTTAAGAAATTCTAAACTAATAAGAACTCTGCTTCACATATTCACAATGTTCTAAATATAAAGAGTACTTGTGGAAACATTGAGCCAAAAACCATGAACAGAAAAAAATCAAGTCATCTGCTCAATAAAAATTAATGTTTGAGTTTCTGAGGTGTTAATTCTGATAAGGAAGAACAGATGTATCAGCAGATCCTTTGAAGTTTCTGCATAATATTATATTATAGATTGATCTAGATCTTTTATAGATAAATTTAACAAATATCAGGACATGCTGTAGAAAAGATATATTTCCCAGTGGGAGTGTCTGTTAAATATTACAAAAAATATAAAAGTATATATTACAGCTAACTGATTTTAAATAGAAAAAAAATTGACACAGGGTTTTCTCCGTTTAACTAGTGTTCAGAGTAAGTTCAAGAACACATTTTTCTCTTGAGCAAACACCTCATTTAAAGATAAAATTTTCTCTAACAAATCCTCTGAAACATTAACAAAATTCTTTGTGTGTATAAAGAATATTCTGAGTAACAACATGAGTTTAAACTGGCCTGCATTCTCATTTAATAACTAAATTGAAATTTATAGATAAAAACTGTCTTTTAGTTAAAAMAACATTAATAAACTTAATGTGATCAGGATAAGATCATATATCAGACCTATAAACAGAGTTGCACATAAGTGGTGCGCAGGTGCGCATGCGTGATCAAAAAAGAAAAAGCGCACCAGATGGAATATCATAAAGCTCTCTTGCGTACCTATGATTGTACCTGAGATTGTGAAAACAACAGCTAGCAGGGTTGCAAATGTGACCTGATTTCTTAAAAACAAACAAAACAAACAATACAAAACAAAAATCCAGCCTCACTGGTRTGACTGGATCGTCATTCTGTCAGAGGAGGGCAGCGGGACCCTGATGTTTAAGGATTAAACGGACACTGCTATCAATGAATCAGACGAACTCCAGAGCCGTTTTATCCAATCAGAGCAGAGCAGGGCGGGACTTTCAGTCAGAGCTGTTTTCAGCAGAGTCAGTGGCTGCAGCGATCAGTCCTGACCATCTCCTCCGGCATTTTGCTCCTGAACTACCAGAGACTTTGGTCTCTAAAACCTAACTTTATAATAAATATACGTTCAGAGCGTTGTTATCGAACAGATCTGTCCAACTTTGCGTCAGTGACTAAACTCTCTCCTCCTGAGAGACGGGAACACGCCTCAGCGCACGCAGGCTGTCTGTGAGATTCACTGTTCGAGTTCTTCTAAACCATATAACCTTTAACAGAAGAACATTTATTTGCCCCATATTAAAGCAAAGATGAGTCTGTTTAACGTCACCCACCAAATCCAAATAAATAAATAAATAAATAAATAAAAACTTGCCATATTTTGTGAATGAGTTTTAAATGTTACATTTACATAATACATAACATACACATCCTTAAACTACTGAAAGTTACAAAGTTAACATTACTGAATGATAAACGTAGGCCTGTCACGATAACAAATTTTGCTGGGCGATTAATTGTCTCAAAATTTATTGCGATAAACGATAATATTGCCTGGTGACCATTTTACAACTAATAATTATAAAAGCGTAATACGTAAGTGCAATAAATCAATAAACTTTAATTTTTAAAAACTGTTTAACAAAGTGGACTCTCAGTCTCTAACAAAAAATGCACTTGAATAAAAAAACCCCCAAAGAACAACAAAATGTAAATTAAACACCACACACAACTAAGACAGTAAATAAACAATATTAAAGAGCAGCATCTCTTTAGAGCAGTGGTTCTTAACCTGGGTTCGATCGAACCC